ATATATATCTTGTAGAAGGCTTCTTTGTTTATTATTCGTATTGTACGGTGTTGTTTGTAGATAAAATTTCATGCTTATCATCGCCAGACGGAGCTTCACACAAGTTTTGTAATTTGGTTATAATTAAATTGTTATACTTAAATGTTTTAGACGCCAAACTGTAACTTTATTATAATGTCATCATAGCCTAAAATTGTTGATTGGGTATATCTATCATTATTATTATTATTATTCCTGCTATTATTGTTATCGATTTCCATCGTTATCATTCACAATGTCATTATATTATCATCAATGCATCATTATCATATTCATCATCATAATATTATAACCAATATAATTGAAATGCTATTACTATTTATTTTTATTAACATTGCCATCACCATTAACAACTCGATATACCATTACAATTACTATTGCGCCGTCACCTTTACCGTTACCGTTACCATTACAATCAAAAATCACTTTTAATAAAGCATCACCATCACTATAACTATCACCACCATCATAACTGTCATCACCTTTATGAATTTTTAAAAATATTAAATGGCATTAGTATTATACTGATGTGACAAAGAATAGCAAACGTCTTCCCCAATTCAATTTTGCCAGGTGTCAAATATAGAGGACGACATTCTATGTGATGACAGTACAATAATTGAATCCAAACACATAATAATATTCATGAAAACATTTACCAACGCTGTGTTTTATTGTTACTGTTTGCGGTCCTGGTTCGCGTTACACGTGTTATGAATAAAACGGTTCCTGTCCATATTGGGTCTTCTATTGTCCGTACCAACTTGCTCACACTTGATATACATATCAACACTATGAAGCCTCCCTCATGTTTATGCTGAAGCTTGATTCCATTGTGGGTCTCTACGCAAAAGATAACTTTATTGTCTCTGTCAAGTTGGGTATTTTATAAAGATTTGAAATTTATCGCAGTTGATTTAGAAACATAGGCGATGGCTTAATACATATTCATTCGTGGTAAGTTGTTTAAACACGTAATTCGAGCTCAAAAATTCTATCTTCTCAGTTCCCCTTATCGTAATAGGGAGGTAATAAAATAGACATCCATGTCTCCCTCATAGATGATCATAAACTTGCGTCAATGTCGTATTTTATCGCTTTTCAACGCAGCCGTTTACATTATTTCATTCCCTACATTAGAACATTCAATAGATAAAAGTTATATAAAGGGCATGTAGGCCTATGGTATGTTTCACCTCTACTAGAAGGAAGTCGGACGAACAAATATGCATTGAATTAAGTACCAGAGGTAAGCAACCAGGCACTGAGTTAATAAGCCATTTCAGAATGTGTTCGTGCACCGTCAGTAGACACCGCCAAACAAACATTTCTGATATTTGACCGGTAAGTAATTTGTATGTATCTGTAGTTTTTTCGATGTGAGTTATTATTATCTGATAATAATATTAATATTGCAGTAGTAATGATGAGGAACATGGTGATGATCATAATGATGATGGA